CAATAAAAAAAATATTTTTTTAAAAAAGAGTAAACTATTGATACACTTAAAAATATGATGAACCTCAAAAACATTTTGCTGAGCTAAAGAAGACAAACAAGCCCTGGCGGGTTTGGCTCAGTGGATAGAGCGTTGGCCTGCGGACTGAAGGGTCCCAGGTTCAATTCAGGTCAAGGGCACATGCCCAGGTTGTGGGCTCAAACCCCAGTAGGGGGCATGCAGGAGGCAGCCGATCAATGATTCTCTCTCATCATTGATGTTTCTATCTCTCTCTCTCCTTTTCTTCCTCTCTGAAATCAATAAACATATATTTTTTCAAAATAAATAAAAATAAAGAAGACAAACAAAAGAGTACACATCCCAAAGTTCCCTTATTTTAAGGTCTAAAACAGCAAACTAAAATATGATGAGGGAAATCAGATCTGTGGTTGCCTGTGTGGTGATGTGTGTGGGATGACTGGGAGGAACATGAGGGAACTTTCTGGGGCAGTGGAAATGTGCATTTTACTGTGTTTAAATTACATCTAAAAAGCTGGGGGGGGGCAGGAGACAAAAAGCCCTCTTTAATAAACCTTGCTTGCAATCACACACACACACACACACACACGCGCGCGGTCAAACCCATAGAGATTGAAAATTTGGGTAAAGTACTGCCTGACAATCTAAAGTGACTTGAGGAGAAATGTTCCTAAAATTTTGGAAAGCTTTAATTCTGAGAGGGAAGTGCCCCAGTTGGCCAATTTACACTTCCCAATCCCTTTATGTAAGATCTACAGCATATAAATGTAGACTGGTTTGGTAAAGATTATGTGTTAAAAATTCAGCACTTAAAAAAAATTTTTTTTTTTATTGATTTCAGAAATGAAGGGAGAGAAAGATAGAAACATCAACGATGAGAGAGAATCACTGATGGCTGCTTCCTGCACGTCCCCCACTGGGGATCGAGCCTGCAAAACCAGGCAGGTGCCCTGACTGGAATCAATCGGTGACCTCCTGGTTCATAGGCTGATGCTCAACCACGGAGCCACGCCAGCCAGACAAAAATTCAGCACTTTTATCCTTTGTGCCTTTAAACAGAAAAACTGTGCCTGGCTTTTCCAAAGTGGCCATTTATAGAGTTTGAAAGGAAAGCATCGGAAGTGTGCACAGTCGTTATCTCCAAAGAAAATTCTCAGCGGAGGCCACCTGAGTCCTGAGGAGTGGCGCTGCCTGGAGTCAGCTGGACAGACTAGCCGAGGTCGCAGCTTTTTGGGGTCTCCATGAAAATATGGCCCAGAACTACAGTCCTTTGTCTAGACCACAGTCCAGATTCTGGCTTCTCTTTGGGTCCTTGTTCCTTCACCTGAGGTCTCCCTTTGCTTTGTAATTCTAATCCTGAAACCTCTCACATTCTCATTGTAAGCAGAACTCAGGAATCCCTGAGCACTGACATCTCAGATCCAGGGGTTTCTCGGGAATGCTGTGGCTGTCAGGGAAGTGCTGGGGCCTCCTGCAGGGTCTTGGCAGGTCTTGACTCCACACCTTAGAGCACATCTCTTCCTTTTACAGATGACGAAGCAGAGGCCCCACGATTAAAGGTCATCTCTAGGCAGCTGTCCCCAAATTTGTGTCTCTAGCCCCGCCTAGCCTCTAGCTCTAGGTGCCTACATCCAGGCGGGGTATGGCCCAGTCGCCTAGATGCAGCCGGTGGAGAATGGACTCTTCCTACCTGCTCCCAGCCGCCCCCACCCCCAGCTATCCAACCACACACACAAACCCCCAGCTACCCAACCACACACGCAAACCCCCAGCTACCCAACCACACACGCAAACCCCCAGCTACCCAACCACACACGCAAACCCCCAGCTACCCAACCACACACGCAAACCCCCAGCTACCCAACCACACACGCAAACCCCCAGCTACCCAACCACACACGCAAACCCCCAGCTACCCAACCACACACGCAAACCCCCAGCTACCCAACCACACACGCAAACCCCCAGCTACCCAACCACACACGCAAACCCCCAGCTACCCAACCACACACGCAAACCCCCAGCTACCCAACCACACACGCAAACCCCCAGCTACCCAACCACACACGCAAACCCCCAGCTACCCAACCACACACGCAAACCCCCAGCTACCCAACCACACACGCAAACCCCCAGCTACCCAACCACACACGCAAACCCCCAGCTACCCAACCACACACGCAAACCCCCAGCTACCCAACCACACACGCAAACCCCCAGCTACCCAACCACACACGCAAACCCCCAGCTACCCAACCACACACGCAAACCCCCAGCTACCCAACCACACACGCAAACCCCCAGCTACCCAACCACACACGCAAACCCCCAGCTACCCAACCACACACGCAAACCCCCAGCTACCCAACCACACACGCAAACCCCCAGCTACCCAACCACACACGCAAACCCCCAGCTACCCAACCACACACGCAAACCCCCAGCTACCCAACCACACACGCAAACCCCCAGCTATCCAACCACACACACAAAACCCCAGCTACCCAACCACACACGCAAAACCCCAGCTACCCAACCACACACGAAACCCCAGCTACCCAACCACACACACAAAACCCCCAGCTACCCAACCACACACACAAAACCCAAATCTTCAGCCCTGGCCGGTTTTGTTCAGCGGATAGAGCGTCAGCCTGCGGACTGAAGGGTCGCGGGTTCCACTCCGGTCAAGGGCACATGCCCGGGTTGCAGGCTCAATCCCCAGTAGGGGGCGTGTCAATCAATGATTCTCTCTCATCATTGATATTTCTCTCTCTTCCCTTCCTCTCTGAAATCAATAAAAATACTAATAAAATAAAGTGAATAAATAAAATGAGATGTCATATCGCTCCTCTGCTCAGAATCCTCCAATGCTTCTTCTCAGACTCAGAGTAAAACCAAAATCTTTAAAATAAAACAAAACAAAACACCTTCAACTCTCGCCCTTCCCTCACAGCAATCCTATTTATTCCCGTTGCAAACAGATCTCAAACCTGCCCCCCCCCCACGCCCCCCGCTTCATCCCCGAACTGCCCCCGGCCCAGCTCTCCCTGCTGTTCCCGCCCTCGCCTCCTCCCCTTTCCCACCAGCAGCAGACACCCCTGTGATCCGGCCCCTCCCGCTGCACCGGTCCCTGAGCCCAGGTGAAACCCAGGCTCGCGGCGTCGCGGGGAGGAGGGGAGACGCAGGGATCCCCCGTGGCCCCTCTGACTCCCAAGGGCGAGAGGGAGGGGGACGGGAGGGAGCTCCCGGAGGCGGCCCCGCCCTAAACGCGGGCTGCTGGGAACCTCCGCACAGGCAGGACCCCGACTTCTGCTGCAGGAAGCGGTGAAAAAGCCACTCGTCCGAGTCAAACAGCCCCAAATCCAAATCCCGTCGCCTCCTCCGCAGCCCAGCGGGCTCACTTCTACTGCCTCTGTAACTTTCTCAATAAACTTCCTCTTATCATTTGAACAAAATAAAACTAATCCTGGCTCACGCAGCCAATCTCCGCTCCCGTTTACTCCTCTGTGAAATGGAGACAATAACGCATTACCTGCGAGGGCTCCCGGGAGGAGTCAATGAGCTCTAAAGCTCTAACCACAGCGCACAGTAGGCGTTTCATGCGTCAGCGAAAGCTCTCGCTCGCATTCTAACGAGCCCACAGCCTGGACTCGCGCATAAGGCGGAAGTTGCTTGTCACTAGTGTGCAAGCGCTACTTGTGCCCACAGGATTTCAGTGCCCAAAGGATTTCAGTGCCCACAGGATTACAGTGCCCGCAGAAGATGGCCCGTGTCACAGGGTCCCTCCAGCCTCCAGTTCAGCCCTGAGGCTGCCTCCTGGCCCCCGCGCTTCAAGCCGCACAGCCCAGGAGCGTGCCCTCGGCCCGCAGCCCGCATACCAGCAGCCGCCGGCGCGCAGAAGTGAAGTGGGTCGGAGTCGAC